CTTCATTCTTTGAAGACGAATTTATTTCCCATTTATGGATTTGAATCCCCTGTTGAATGTACAATTGCCCGAGATTCTCTCACATCCTCTCTTCAGTCAGCTTTCTGTACTATATTGCCGTCACAGTACAGCGCTCTTTAACTTCATGCAATCCCAATGGTCAATTTGTGGGATTGCTTTATGAGTCATTAGAGTAATTTTGCAAAAAACCTTTGTCTATTCTCCTATCTTGAAGTGTGTTTTACCTGTTTACCCTAGCAGTTTAAGAGCGCTTCTTCTACTTCTTGGATTTCATACAGAGTGAGTAGGGATCTAGTTTTATTCTTCTGTAAATGGGGACACAATTTCCCTAGCACCGCTTGTTGAAGAACCTGTCTTTTCTCCAATGCATGCTTTTTTTCTTTTTTTTTTTCAGCACTGCCAAACATTGAGCAGTTGAAGCAGTGTGGGTTTATGTGTGCACTACCCCATTCTTGCTTTATTACCTTGGCTCTGAGATCAATTATTGTGACACCCCTAGAATTTTCTTTTTTTTTCCTTATTTATTTATTTATAAGAATTTCCACTTCCTCTCCTCCTCCCAATACCTTCCCGCTCCCCCCACTCCCTCTCCTCCTCCCTCTCCAATCCCAAGAGCAGTCAGGGTTTCCTGCCCTGTGGGAAGTCCAAGTTCCTCCCCCCATCCCTCCAGGTCCAGGAAGGTGAGCATCCAAACAGACCAGGATCCCAAAAAGCCAGTACATGCAGACGAAACAAGACCCAGTGCCATTGTCAATGGCTTCTCAGTCAGCCCCCATGTCAGCCACATTCAGAGAATCCGGTTTGATCACATGCTTGTTCAGTCCCAGTCCAGCTGGCCTTGGTGAGCTCTCATTCGATCAGTCCCCTTGGATCAGTGGGTGAATGCACCCTTCGCGGTCCTGACTTCCTTTTTCATGTTCTCCTTTCTTCTGCTCATCATTTGGACCTTGGGGGCTCAGTCCAGTGTTACAATGTGGGTCTCCGTCTCTATCTCCATCCATCGTTGGATGAAGGTTCCCTCTGGTTCTACCTTCCTTGCTCACGATCTCCCTCCCTCTACTTCTCATTTGGACCTAGGGAGTTAAGTCCAGTGTTCCAGTATGTGTCTCTGTCTCTATCTCCATCCTTCGCCAGATGCAGGTTCTGTGGTGACATGCAAAATATTCATCAGTATGGTTATGGGCCAAGGCCAGTTCAGGCACCCTCTCCTCTGCTGCCCAGGGAACAATCTGGGGACCTCTCCTTGGGCCTGGAAACCCCTCCAGAATCAAGTCTCTTGCAAAGCCTAAAATGGCTCCCTTAGTTGAGATATAAGATATAAACTTCCCTACTCCCATAACCATCCTTCCTCCCTCCCCCTCCCATTCCCCCAAGCCATCCCCAATCCTGCCCCC